GCTCTCCTAAAAAAAAGTTGATAAAGTTGCGTGAATTTGACTTTAAAGTAAAGTTCGCCAAAAAGTGAACGTTGATTTTCTGTCTAACAAAGACAGTGTTCACTCTTTGGCGAACTCGACTATAAATGTCTAGCATAGCGTTGGTTTAAAAACTCACATCTACTTTTGAGTTTATTTCTGTGAAATTTTGGTAAGATACCAAAGATACTAAATGTTCCAGAGATTATATAATGTAACTAAAATATTATTCATTCCACCCAGAAAATTAATGTCGCCGTTAAAAAAATGTTAAAAAATTGTTGAAAACTTTGTATTTGTTGTGCTGCAAAGATGATGGATGATTTGTGAAAATAACTTTTCTCATTTTTTTGAAAAATGACCAAATGCAAACGTGATATATTTTTTTTAATTTAAAGCTTGTCACGTAATCATGTCGTCATTCAGAGTATGGAGTATGAAACAAAAGAAAATTGTGAGTTCATTTATTAATTTATTTTATGACACAAATAACTTTTCAAACTACTGAACCGACCACTTTGATATTTTCGAGGAATTTTATAAATGATAAAAGACTAAGCAAAGTATGTTTGTTTGCTCTCCTAAAAAAAAAGTTGATAAAGTTGCGTGAATTTGACTTTAAAGTAAAGTTCGCCAAAAAGTGAAGTGTCTAACAAAGACAGTGTTCACTCTTTGGCGAACTCGACTGTAAATGTCTAGCATAATGTTGGTTTAAAAACTCACATCTACTTTTTAGTTTATTTCTGTGAAATTTTGGTAAGATATGAAAAATATTTAGTGTCATTTTCCAATTCATATCTTAGGAAGTACTAGCTCTGCCCATCCGCCCTCTATTTTTTTAAAGAGTTTGCCAAAATCAATCGTACTTTAGGAAGTACTAGCCTCGCCCACTCTCTATTTTCTTGGAGGGTATATCATTTGCCAAAATCAATCTTATCTTAGCAAGTACTATCCCCGCCCACCCACCTTCTATTTTCTTAGAATGTATATCATTTCCCAAAATTTTAACAAGTACTAACTCCGCCCCCCGCCCTCTGTTTTGTAAAGAGTAATATATCATTTGCCAAAATCAATCTTATCTTAAGTAGTACTAGCCCGCGCCCTCCACTCATCCGCTATTTTCTTAAAAAGTAATACATATATCATTTGCCAAAATCAGTCGTACATTAGGGAGTATTAGCCCCGCCCACCCGCCCTCTATTTTTTTAAAGAGTATATCATCTGCCAAAATCAGTCGTATTTTAGGTTCTATGAATCAGACATAGGTGAACACAATTAATGTATGAAACAAGCAACCCAAAAGCAGGTAAGCTTTGGGACTATCATATATAATTCTGAGCTGTCTATTAGGGACTTCCAATAAACATCTTTGGAAAGAAAATCAATGTTGACTATTTGGCGGATTCGACTATAAATGTCTAAGTCTATCTTATATAATAGAATTAAAATTTATGATTGATTCCACCCAGAAAATGACAGCGTTAAAAAAAATGTTGAAAAATTGGTATTTGTTGTGCTGAAAAAATGAGGGATGATTTGAGAAAATCACTAGAAATTTTTTTTACGGAATGCAATGTGATGTTTTTTTTTTATTTACCGCCTGTCACCTAATTGTCATCATTCTGAATATGAAAACAAAACAAATGTGAGTTCATTTATATTAATTTATTTTTATGCACAGATAATTTTTGAAACTCCAGGACCTATCACTTTGATATTTTTGAGGAATTTTAAATGGTAAAAGACCAAGTAAAGTATGTTTGTTTTCCCTCAAAAAAAAAAAAAATTGATAATGTTTTGTAAATCTGACTTTAAAGTACAGTCCGCCAAATAGTGAACACTGTCATTTTGTCTATTGGAAGCCACCAATACACCACTTAGGATGACGTAAATAATAATTCACAGCCAATTGTTCCACGTAAGGAATAAAGGTTCTATGAATCAGACATAGGTGAACATAATTTATGTTTCAAACAAGCAACCCAAAAGCAGGTAATCTTTGAGATTATTATATACAATTCTGAGTTGTTTATTAGTGGCTTCCAATATATGTACACCTTCGGAAACAAAGTCAATGTTCACTATTCGGTGGATTCGGCTATAAATGTAATAAACAACGTGGTATCCATAACAACATCAAAATAATAGCCAGCTATGTATTAAATTTCGCATCGGTACAATTCACACAATCTTGCCGGAAATACTCAATTTTTCGTTAAAAATATTTTAGAAAAACTAAAATAGAATAAAACCTTGTATGTACCACGGGCATAATTACCGATTGTGATCCTCGGCAAATTAAAAGCCTTCGTTCGTTGGGCTTTAAACATTTCCTTGCTATAATATCCCTAATTATGCCCTTAATACATAAATAACTATTAAAACTTACGTACGTACTTAGCTGTGTATTAAAATTTGTTCGTTGATGGTTTACTCAGAAAAATCGGTTTGGGTTATGCAAGGACTAGCCCCACCCACCCGCCCCCTGTTTTCTTGGAGGGTATATCATCTGCCAAAATCAGTCTTATCTTAACAAGTTCTAGCCCCGCCCACCCACCCTCTATTTTTTTAAAGAGTATATCATTTGCCAAAATCAGTCGTACTTTAGGTTCTAGAAAATTAATGACAGCGTTAAAAAAATGTTGAAAAATGGGTGTTTGTTGTGCTGAAAAGATGAGGGATGATTTGTGAAAATAATTTTACAGATTTTTTTTTAATGACGAAGGTGAATGTGATACACAGTATGAAAAAAAAGAAAATTGTGAGTTCATTTATTTATTTTATTCTGTTACTCATATAATTTTTGAGACTCCAGGACCGATCACTTTGATATTTATGAGGAATTTTAAATGGTAAAGGACTAAGCGAAGTATGTTTGTTTACCTTCCTAAAAAAAAGTTGATAATGTGTAAATCCGACTTTAAAGTAGAGTCCGCTAAATAGTGAAGATGGACTTTCCGTCTATTGGAAGTCACTAATAATTGGCTTAGAATTATGTAAATTATGATTTAAAGCCTATTAATTCCAGAAAGGTTCTATGAATCATGCACAAAAGCAGGTAAACACTGAGACTATTATAATTCGGAGCTGTTTATAAGGGGCTTCCAATAAACACTTTTGGAAATAGAAAGTCAATGTTCACTATTTGGCCGACTTGACTATAATATAATATAGCATCGAAAGTATAAAACCAAAGAAAATTGTAATTTTCATTTATTAATTGATTTTATTAAACACATTAATTTTGAAACTATAGAACCGATTATTTTGACATTTTAGAGGTATTTTAAATGATAGAGGCTAACGAAAGTTTGTGCGCTTCTTTCAAAACTGACGCCATCTCAACATACGTTTACGTGAATCACGCTTTAAAGGTACAACATTTAACGTAGGTTGAGAAACTCACATCTATTTTTAACCTTATTTCGTTGAAATTTTGGTAAATTGGTAACATTGCTTCAAAGATTGTGTAATATAACTACAATTTATTATTCATCCCTCCCATAAAATTGATGACGTCATTAAAAAAAAATTTGTTAGCAATTCGTTGAAAAATTCGATTTTCACTAGAAATAAAGAGGAGAATTATTTAATAAAAAATAGCGATTAAGTATTACGTAACGTCACAGTACAAAAAGTGAGTGTTTTCACACGATAAATAAAGCAGCTCTTTTTTTCGAGTGCGCATAATTTTTTTTCTATGATATTAATAGGCGGTTACACGGTTTGTAAGCTCATGATTAACAGAATATTGAAATGACTAAGTGTTCAACTTGACCTTTTCATTAGTGGCTGAAGTATAGCATAGTGTGCTCGTAAGTAGCAAATGTAGGTTTTAAATTTTCTCTATTAACATATTAGATCTCTGAACACAACATTAATGTCGTGATTACTGAACACGAACTAAGATTTATTCAGTCATCCCTGTCGCAATATTGATGACGTCATCTTAAAAATAGAATTTTTGTAAGTCAGAGACTTACTTCACATATATTTTTAATTTGTAATTCTTATAAATGAAAATCGTTGCTGGGGTGTTTTTAAATAAATATTGCGTGTCTTTTGTTTTTTTAACTTACTTTTAACCTATTTCTTTTCAGCGAAATTTAATTTTAACTGTGTCACACACAAAGAAAGAGAGTGGGATAAAAAGAGAGGGAATGACAAAAGAAGGCAATTAGTTGTAATGACGAACAGAAATAATTTTTTAACTCCAAGTAATTCTATTTGTTAACCGTTGAAACCATAAATAGAAAAATCACTTCTGTATGTATTTATAGAGAAATATCAGTTTGTGGATTCAAGTCTCACCATCTATTTATTTATTCCTGGAAATCGCGAATGAACGTTTGCAGACACTCCTGCTTATCAGTTATCAATAAATAGCAATATGAGAGTTGATAATATACAGGTTGCTTGATTATTATTTAATAATCTCACAATATATATTTCGCGATTTCAAAAATAATAATTCATTCAAATAAACCGAAAATTTGTTTGTAGAAAGTTTTATTTTGTTTGAGCGTCTGCATAAAAATAAAATATGCGATTTCCCCAACACTTAATTCAGTTCCCGAAAAATATAGACACTCCGTTTATTATTTTTCGTTCGGTGTATATTTCCCCAAGGTATATTAGTGCCTACTCGCACTCAAACGCAAAGAAAACCTCGTCTAATTTTAACACGAACACGAAAGCAGGATGTCGAACTTAGCGCAACATCAAATCGCAAACTCGCATAAAAATCGCGTTTTCTCTCTCTAACTATCACCTGCACGTTATAACCATTACCCAAAAATCCCGTAATCGCAAGTCCATCCGCTATTATTCAGAGGAAGCGCGTTCCAGAAATAAAGATCACGCGTCCCGCTAACACAATATTTATTTTTATACGTAAAGGCAGAGCAGCGTACACCCACCGGGCGAGAAAATAACTCGCGTCATCTTTATTATCGAAAGGTAAAAAATTGTCTGTTTCGCAGTTGGAGTCATGGTTCAAGGGCGGAGGCGCGAAGAAAGCGCCGGGGTCGCGGCCTACGTCGCAGTCGTCGATGCTGAGGCCGACTTCGGAAAGCGATTTTCCAGAGGCAGATGATAACGCCATTCGGGCTTTCGAAGATCAGGTCAACAAGATGACCGAGAAGGAAGTCAACGTCAAGTTCGATGAGCTCCTGGTAGGTGCTGATTGTGTTTTTTTCTTTAATTTAAAGGTAGCATTTGAGATGTAAAAAATAATGTAAATTGACAACTTCTTAAATTCTATGAAAAAAAAAAAAATGTCTGACAGCGATATAAAAAAAAATGTCTGACAGCGATATAAAAAAAACAGTGATGTAAATTGACGGCTTTTCAAATTTCGTCCATTCTAGAAGGAAAAAATCTGAATAAATACTCCTAACTCAAAGAAACTAAATTATTAGGACAAAAAATAGTTATACATTTTTTAATAAGAAGTGCTAAAAATGGGCCACTGGATCTTATTAAGATTCGAGAATTTCTCAAAATATTGAAAAATAATAATTAAATAGAAAATTTTATTGCAGAAATGGACACAAATAAATGAACGTTAAAAGTTAAAATTAATTTTTCATATCAGATGGCAGTATATTAGAAACGATTTAATTCGACGTATCACATAGTGCTGTAGTCGAAAAAAGTTGACAGCCAAGTTAAATAAAAATAATACAAAAATGAAGTCAATATAAATTGACAATTTTTCATGTTTCGTGTGTTTAAAAAGACAAAATAAAAAAATGTTGTCAAAAAATAACTCGAAAAACGAACGCGAATTCTGAAACAACAAATAGTTACAAATTATTTTAATGGACAGTGCTGAAATTGGACCCCTGAATTTTATATTAAATTTAAACATTTTTTCAAAATTTTCGAAAATATGGAACGTTGAATATGGATTTATTTAAATAATCGAGTAGTTGTTTTATGGTTTTGTAATTCAAGTTAAAACTTCGAGATACGATAAAACAAATTAATTAAATTAATTGAATTTTTCAAAAAGTCAGAAAGGATAAAATGGGAATAAGACGCTAAAAAAAAACAGGCATGTAAATTCTGAAATAAAAATATGTATGATAATGTATTGTGCTGAAAATTGGGGATTGTATCTGCATATTCAGAGAATTTCTTAAATTTTTCGAAACTATGAAAAGTGGAATTGAATCGAAATGAGTTAAAGTTAGCACTTTGATAAATAATTTAATACTTTTCAAATTCCGTTTGTTTAAGAAGCCAAAAATGAAAAAAATTGGAAATAAATCATTCAAAAAACAGACGTAAATTCTGAAAAAAGTGTGCTGAAAATGGACCACTGAAACCGATATTAATTTTGACACACTTGTCAAAATTTTCGAAAATATGGAACGTTGAATATCGTGTAATTAGTTTCTTAATTTAACATTTTTTGAGATACAAAAATGTAAATTAATTAAATCGATAGTTTTTTACAGACACGTGAATTTTGAAGCAAAAATAGAAAATAATTGAGTGGATGAAGAATAGTGATGAAAATGGACTAGTGTCTCTTATATTAAGATTGAAAAATTTGTCGAAATTTTCCAAAATATAGAACGTTCAGTATCGTGTAATTAATTTAAATAACAGTTTTCTGGTTATTTTGTACTTTGAGTTAACATTCTGAGATAAAAAAAAATCAAAAACCCAAAAAGGAATAAATAAAAACGCGTAAATTTTGAAGCAAAAATAGAAAATAATTGAATGGATAGTGCTGAAAATGAATCGCTGCTTCTTATATTGTTTGAAATTTTTTTCAAGATGTTAAGGAATATGGGTTGATTAAATAACCGTTATCTTGTTGTTTTGTATTTTCAGTTCACTCTTTGAGATATAAAAAAACAAAATAATTAAATTTACATTTTTTCAAATGTCATTTTAAAAGTCAAAAAACGAAAAAAATAGAGACTCAAAAAAAACCGCGTAAAGTCTGAAACAAAAATAAGAAATATTGATGGATAGTAGTGAAAATGGGTGGTTGATTAAGTTTAAAAATTTCTCAAAAATTTCGGAAATATGGTACGTTGAATATCATATAAATTCTTTTTCGAAATAACAGTTATCTTTTTGTTTTGTACTTTTAATTTAACTCTTTAAGACAATAAAAAATAAGATAATTAAATTGACAACTTTTCAAAATAAATGTCGTATATTCAAAAAGTCAAAAAGGAGAAAAATTATCAACTTAAAAAAAAACTCAAACAAAAAAAGAAAGTCTGAATGGATTGTGTTGAAATGGGACTTTATACATTTTACCTACGTTTGAAAATTTTCTCTGGTATTAAGTTTGAAAAATTTCCCAAAATTTTCGAAAATTTGAAATTTTGAAAATCATATAATTTATTTAAATAAATGACGTAAAGTTAGTACTTTGAGATATACACAGATTAAAATGATATAACTTGACAATTTTTCGAATTTCGTGTTTTATAGAAAGGAAAAAAATCGAAATGGCTAACTCAAAAAAAAACAGTAAATTCGAAACAAAATGGTCAGAAAATTTTTTAATACGTACTTCTCACAATGGGCCACTGGAGCTTCATATTAAGATCGGAGATTTAGTAAAAATTTTCGAAAATATGGATTTATGTGTGTTTGAGGAGACAAAATGAAATAATTTGGAAACAAATATCAAATAACTCAAAAGCCAACGTACATTTTGAAAAAATAAAATAGGTCACAATTATTTTTTTGTATGCAGCTAAAACAGCTATTTTACGGACTCAAAAGAGTCCGTAAAATGGGTCTTTTTCGGACTCGATCCCAAAAAGTTATCATGGCAACTATTGCTTTGGTCAATGTGGTTACTATGGTGACAGCCCACTACGTATTTTCGATAAATATTTGCTATGGTCACATTAGGCGTATTAAGAGTTTTATAGAGGTGTTTTTGGGAGCTTTAACAAAAAAAATGTTGTTTGTGACACGATTTTTCAACTTTTCGGGTTTTAAATTTCTCGATATTTCGATTTTCGATTTTTTTCAATTTAAATGTTTCGATTTTGTGCCATTTCGATTTCTTTTTTGATAGTTGGATTTCTCGATGTTTCAATTTTCCAAATGCTCAATGTTTCAATTTTTCGATTTTCCACTTTTGTACAATTGTACAATTTTTTTTTTAGTTTTTCGGTTTTTCCAGATTTTGATTTCTCGATTTTTCAAGTTCCGATTCCTCAATTTTTCGATATTTCATTTTTGGATTTTTCAATTTTTCGATTTTTTAATATCTCTATTTTTCAAATTTTCCATTTTTCAATTTTTCAATACTTCAATTTTCCGATTTTTAAAATTTTCGATTAATCGATTCTTCGATTTTTAGGTATGTCGATTTTTCGATATTTTGATTTTCCCATTTCTCAATTTCTTGATTTTTCGAAGTTTCGAGTTCTTGACTTCTCGATTTTCAGATTTTCAGTTCTTCGATTTTCAGATTTTTATGGTTCAATTTTTCAGGATTTTGCGATTGCTCGATTTTTGTTTTTCGATTCTTCAATTATTCTTCGATTTTCCAATTTTTTGATTTCTTAAATTTTAGATTTTTGGTCTCTCGATTTCTCAATTTTTCATTTTTTAAATTTTACATTTTTCGATTTTTCAGTTTCATAAATTTTTCAATTTCTCCCTATGCAGATTTCGATGTTTGGATTTTTCGTTTTTTTTTTTAATTGAAAGTTTTCAGTTTTTCAAATTTTAATATTCCATTTTTGTGCTATTCTCGATTTTTGATTTCTCGACTTTTCGATGTTTCGACTTTTCGATTTCTCGATTTTTTGATGCTTCAATTTCTCGATGTTCTAATGTTCCAGTTGTTTGTTTTAATTTTTCATAATCTCGATTTTTCGAATTTTCAGTTTGTCGCCTTTTCGATATTTCAATTTTGGGAAGTTTTTTTGATTTTTAAATTTTTGAATTCCTCGAGTTTCCAAGTTTTCAGTTTCTCGCCATTTCATTTTTGGAATTTTCAGTTTTTCGATTTTTTAATGTCTCGATTTTTCAAATTTTCGATTTCTGTTTTTTTGTCGAATTCTCTAGTTTCCGATATTTTAGTTTTTCAATTTTTCAATATTTCAATTTTCCTATTTTTAAAATTTTCGATTAATCGATTCTTCTATTTTTTGAATTATGGACTTTTAGGTATGTCGATTTTTCGATATTTTGAATTTCCCATTTCTCGATTTCTCGATTTTCATATTTTCAGTTCTTCGATTTTCCAATTTTTATGGTTCAATTTTTCGGGATTTTGCCTCGATTTTTGTTTTTCGATTCTTCAATTTTTCTTCGATTTTCCAATTTTTTGATTTCTTAAATTTTACATTTTCGGTCTTCGGTCTCTCGATTTCTCAATTTCTCCCTATGCAGATTTCGATGTTTGGATTTTTCGTTTTTGTGCTATTCTCGATTTTTAGATTTCTGGATTTTTCAATTTTTCGACTTATCGATTTTTTTCAATTTTTCGACTTTTCGATGTCTGGATTTTTTGATGCTTCAATTTCTCGATGTTCCAATGTTCCAGTTGTTTGTTTTAATTTTTCGAAATCTCGATTTTTCGAATTTTCAGTTTTTCGCTTTTTCGATATTTCAGTTTTGGGAAGGTTTTTTGATTTTAAAATTTTTGAATTCCTCGATTTTCCAAGTTTTCAATTTATCGCTATTTCATTTTTGGATTTTTCAATTTTTCGATTTTTTAATGTCTCGATTTTTCAAATTTTCGATGTCTGTTTTTTTTTTCGAATTCTCTAGTTTTCGATATTTTAGTTTTTCGATTTTTCAATTTTTCAATACTTCAGTTTTCCGATTTTTAAAATTTTCGATTAATCGATTCTTCGATTTTTTTAATTATCGACTTTTAGGTATGTCGATTTTTCGATATTTTGATTTTCCCATTTCTCAATTTCTTGATTTTTCGAAATTTCGAGTTCTTGACTTCTCGATTTATCGATTTTCAGATTTTCAGTTCTTCGATTCTCCGATTTTTATGGTTCAATTTTTCGGGATTTTGCGATTCCTCGATTTTTGTTTTTCGATTCTTCAATTTTTCTTCGATTTTCCAATTTTTCATTTTTTAAATTTTAGATTTTTCGATTTTTCAGTTTTATAAATTTTCTCCCTATGCAGATTTAGATGTTTCAATTTTTCGTTTTTTTTTTAATTGAAAGTTTTCAATTTTTCAAATTTTAATTTTTCGATTTTGTGCTATTCTCGATTTTTAGATTTCTGGATTTTTCAATTTTTCGACTTCTCGACTTTTCGATTTCTCGATTTTTTGATGCTTCAATTTCTCGATGTTCCAATGTTCCAATTGTTTGTTTTAATTTTTCGAAATCTCGATTTTTTCAGTTTTTCGCCTTTTCGATATTTCAGTTTTGGTTTCTTGATTTTTAAATTTTTGAATTCCTCGATTTTCCAAGTTTTCAATTTGTGGATGACTTATTTTTTCCATATTTCATATTTAGACTTTTCAACTTCTCGATTTTTCAGGTTTTCGATTTCTCGATTTTTTTTAGGATTTTCGATTTTCCAATATTTCGGTTTTATGATTTTTCAAGATTCTTCAGTTTTCGGTAGAAAAAAGTAAAATAGTTAAATTGACACGTTTTCAAATTTCGTTTATTCAAAAAGTCAAAAAGGAAAAAATTAGAAACAAATATCAGAAAAATATTGTTAAAAATTATTTTAATGGACAGTGCTGAAAATGGGCCACTGGATCTTACGCTAAGTGTGAAAAATTTTACAAAATTTTTGAAAACCTGGAATTCAGGTTATTCCTTTAAAGTTAATACTTGGAAATACAAAAAAATTAAATAAATTGACAACATTTCAAATTTCCTGAATTCAAAGAGCCAAAAATAAAAAAAAATCTATGAAACAAAAAATAGTTAAAAAATATTTTATGGATAGATTTAAATAAATGTAATGTTCGAAAAATTCAAAATAATTCAATAATTCAATATGATAAAAAAAATTAAATTTACAAAAATTGCAATTGAAAGTTGGAGGTGAATTCAAAACTTAAGAATTAAAGAAAAAGGCAAAAAAGGTTGAAAACTCTTAAAAATTTTGTAAGATGAACACTAAAAAGAAGATTATAAAAAATATTTAATGTACTAATACTAATACTAAGTTTTTGAAGTTATTTTTTACTTTGTGCAAATAATGCAAAAAATCATTATAAATAACACTTTCAAAGTCTTTTTTGTTGTACAATTTGCCATTTCGATGTCAATATCTTCATTAATGAGTGAAATATTGCCATAAAACAAAATATTTCGAACACGTAACATAAAATTATTAATTTGACAAATTTTATAGATGTGTTGTAAAAGCTTACATATAACATTGGTGCTCGAGATTTTTTTGTGTCGAGGCGTACCCGAGTTAAAGAGACATTCGAGGGGTCAAAGAACCATGAAGAAGTGCATCGTCATACAAAAGTGTATTTTGACAAACTTCTTGTCATGCTTGTGCCAATGAAAATTTTGGCAGCACTTCAAAATTTAATTATGCGTACAGGGCTGACATATTACAACAGGCTTATTTTAATAAATGTCTAAATTCTTGCTTTCGTAATACTCCACGGATCATAGAACATAAAAATGTTTCTAAACAAAATTTACTCAAAATTCCATCCAAAAAATTTAAGTTAATTTAAAATTATATACTTGGAAGATTATTACTGTTTATAAAATTTAGCCATTTATTCACAATAATAACTAAACATGTTTAGAAAAATACTGGCTTTTGCATGGCGAATCAAGTAATAAACACGTATGTAGATATGAAATTTTAACAACTTAGTTCACAACGTTAAATATTTATGAAAAATGTTTGTGATAAACATATGTTTTATTCCATGGGCTATAAAATGCGTCGTTTTATCTACGTTACTGCTAATAAGCAATATCGATAAAAATTGTTGATAAAAACTTATCAGTAACTGTAAATTAAAAATTCATACATTTTTTACTTCCTGAATAGAGATTGATTAAAAAAAAAAAATTCCCCGAAATTTTTTGTCCAGTAGTTTAGGATTTCCACCATTAGATTATTAAAAACTTTGATAATTATTCAACCACCCACGCTGAATAACACACACGTGTATTTTTTTTAACCTTCTAACTTGATTTTTAACACTTGTACTTGTTTCAGAGCGATATGAACTTGAACAACGACAAAAAAATGCCTCTGACTAAAATGTCCCTAGAGCAGAAGAGGAACATGCTAATCTTAAAATGCAAAGGCTCCAACCAAGACGTAGGCCACAAATTCGATAAACCCCAAGACTACATTTCGTATTTAGAGCAATATTCAAAACCCGACATGCTTAACTTAGGCAAAATACTTACCTGCGTAGAGTCTTTAAGAATAGCTTTAACCAACAACCCTCTAAGCTGGGTCAGAGAATTCGGATCGCACGGAATGAGGTCAATTTTCAAAATCCTGGACCTGAGCTTGAAAGAGTACGTCTGCATTTTCATTTACGTTACTTACTGCTAAATCACCACTTATTTTTGCGCAGAAAAGACACGAAAATCCAGAACGAATGTCTCCGCTGCGTGGAAAAATTCATGAACAACACCGACGGCCTGAAGAATTTTTTGAAGTACGAGAAAGGCCACGAAGTCGTCGCCGACTGCCTGGACCACAGGAAACCGCAAGTGATGATTCAAGCCCTGAAAATCTTAGCCGCTTTGTGCTTTCTGGAAGACAAGACTTCCGGGACTTTCGGCGTTGATAAGATGTTAGCTGCCATTACGAAAGTCTCCGATTCCAGGAACATGCCGAGGTTTTTGCCAATCGTCAACGCCATCACCAAATCTGGGAATAACGCAGACTTACAGGTAAAAAGTGGCACTTTTTGTTTGTTTTTTCACGTCGATAAGGAACCCATTCACGGTAGAAATCGTTTGTTTGTATGTCTCGTTTAAAGTTGGTTTAGTTTGTTATTGGTTTTTCAACAAAATGAAGTTTTCGAAAAAAAGAATTTTTAAATTTGTGGTTTGTGATTTTGAAGGTGTTTTCGTCAATCTTGTGTGTATTTTTCAGAGTATGTGTTTTCAATTTATTAACGCACTTTTGTCCCAAACCGATGATTTTGAGTTTCGGATGCATCTACGCAACGAGATCGTCCGGAATGGACTATACGATTCTTTAGGTGAGTCGAAAATCGGCGAGAATTTTGACTATTTTTGAGTGGTTTTTAGTTGAGTTAAAAAATGAAACTAACCCTGTGATTAAAAACCAGTATGAGATTTTCGAAACTCATAAAGACAACGATTTGGATGAATTACACGAACGTTTTGACAAAGTGAGGTTAGATATGGACGATATCCAAGACTGCTTCGAAGTATTAAAAAATACAACACTAGAGACTGCCGCAGAGCCTTATTTTTTAAGTATATTGCAGCATTTATTGTTTATTAGGGACGACATTAATATAAGGTAGGGTTTTGTTTGTTGTGGTTGTCGTTGTCAGGACGTTATTCGTTTGTTTTCAGACCAGCCTACTTCAAAATTATAGAAGAATGTGTATCGCAGATAGTTTTACATAAGTCTGGATTGGATCCAGATTTCTCTAGGAAGCATTTCGATTTAGATTTACAACCGCTATTAGATGAATTAAAAGGTAAGTGTGTCAAAATTTCGTTGTTAATTCTCATAACGTCAAAGTCAGAAGTGACAGTTGTCAAAATAACCATAAAAGCGACTTTTCAGGGAAAATATAACAGTTGTCATTTTCATTTAACAGTGAATAGATGTTTAAAACAGTATTTTTTACGTGTTCAACATGTTTTTAAATGACAGTTCAATTCAAGTAATGACAGTTTATACATTCTCAGTAAATGCCACTTGACAACTAAAATTTTTAATGACATCATTTTGGTTTAATTATAATTAAATAGGCGGTACCAAGTCAATTAATTGGTTACCCATGGAACGTCAAATTTTGACAAAATTTCCCACTGTCGGTGGACTTCTAAGAAATCATTGTCAAATTTAAATTGTTTTATTATTTTCTTCTAAGACAATAATTTAGTGGCACAAATAGATTCTATGGTTGGAATATTTTAATTGTGTAAAACCTATTTTTAAATGACAACTGTCACCTGCTGTCACTTTTTTAAATTGTTTGTTTCATTGCGAGTTTTCTCGAGAAATTTCGTGTAATAAATATTAAAGTAAAAACAGTTTACACCGGTTTGACGTGTCCAGTAATTATCACTTGACAGCAGAAATTTTTAATGACGTCTGTCTGAGCTGACAACAGGTCTTGGTTTAATTATAGTTGTATATTTTGGTAATGCAAAATTTCAAAACTGGAAATAATGAGTGCCAAATTTTGGCAGATTTTGTCATTTTTAAATGACATTTGCCCAATAGGTAGAAGTCATTTTTTTTATATATACGTTGTTTGACAGTTGTTAATATAAATTGGAATTATAAAATATACAGTGCCAAGTTAATTAATTAGTTACCACGTGGAATGTCAAATTTTGACAAAATTTTCCATTGTTGATTGACTTCTAAGAAATCATTGTTAAATTTAAATGATCACTTGAATACATCAAAATTGTCCTTTTATTCATTGTTTTCTTCTACGACAATAACTTCATGGCAGAAATAGATTTTGTGGTTAGAATATAGTCATTTAAAAAATGACAGTTGCCATTTACAGCTATCAGTGAACAGATGTTGAAGATATTATTTGTTACGTTCTCAACATAGAAGAGCTACATTTTAATTAAAACGTATTTTTAAATGATAACTGTCACCTGTTGTCATTTTTTAAATTGTTTGAGTCATTCAGAATTTACAGTTGGATATTTTGGTACTGAAAATGTCAGAATTGGAAATAATGATGGTCAAATTTTGACACATTGTGTTATTTTCAGTCATTTTTTTGAAACCCTTTGTTGGACAGTCGTTAATGTTAAGAGGAATTATAAAATATGCAGTAAGTTAGTTAATTGGTTTCCATATGGAGTGCAAAATTTTGACAAAATTTTCCATTGTTGATTGACTTTTAAGGAATCATTGTCAAATTTAAATGATGACTCGAACACATCAAAATTGTCGTCTTATTCATTGTTTTTTTCTACGACAATAACTTCGTGCCACGAATAGATTTTGTGGTTAGAATATAGTCATTTAAACAATGACAGTTGTAGTATTATTTATATCTCTCAATGAACAGACGTTGAAGATATTAGTTTTTACGTGTTCAATAAGAAAAGCTACATTTTAATTAAAACGTATTTTTAAATGACAACTGTCACCTGCTGTCATTTTTTTAAATTGTTTGTTTCATTGCGAATTTACAGTTGAGTTTTCTAATAAATTTCGTGTAATAATATTAAAGTAAAAACAGTTTACACCGGTTTGACATATCCATTAATTGTCACTTGACAGCAAAAATTTTTAATAGCATATTGGAATAGATTTTGTGGTTAGAATATAGTCATTTAAAAAATGACAGTTGTCATATCATTTACATCTTTCAGTGAACAGATGTTGAAGATATTAGTTTTTACGTGTTCAACATAGGATAGTTACGTTTTAATTAAAACGTATTTTTAAATGACAACTGTGACCTATTGTCATTTTGTTTAAATTTTTTTGCAAATTTACAGTTGTGTTTTCTATAGAAATTCCGTGTGATAAGATTAAAATAGCAACAGTTTACACTGGTTTTTCATATCCAGTAATTGTCACTAACTTCACAACAAAAATTTTTAATGGCATCGTGTCATTTATTGTTTAAAATAGAGTGGCAACACGTCTTCGTTTAATTATAGTTGGACATTTTGATACTGAAACATTTCAGAAGTGAAACCAGTGAGTGTCAAATTTTGACTGATTTTGTCATTTTTTAATCACATTTGCCGTACAGATAATAGTCATTTTTTTGTTGTACGTTGTTTGACAGTCGTTAATATAAAATGGAGTTATAAAATATGCAGTCCCAGTTAATTAATTGGTTCCCCCACGGAATGCCAAATTTTGACAGAATTTTCCACTGTTGATTGACTTCTAAGAAATCATTGTCAGATTTAAATGATGACTTGAACACATCAAAATTGTCCTTTTATTCATTGTTTTCTTCTACGACAATAACCTCATGGCAGAAATAGATTTTGTGGTTAGAATAGTCATTTAAGAAATGACGGTTGTCATTTACATCTATCAGTGAACAGATGTTGAAGATATTATTTGATGCGTCCTCAACATCGAAGAGCTACATTTTAATTAAAACGTATTTTTAAATGACAACTGTTACCTGTTGTCATTTTTAAATTGTTTATTTCATTCAGAATTTACAGTTGGATATTTTGGTACTAAAAATGTCAAAATTGGAAATAATGATGGTCAAATTTTGACAGATTTTGTCATTTTTGAATAACATTTGCCTAACAGATAGAAGTCATTTTTTTCTTATCCGTTGTTTGACAGTCGTTAATGTTAAGAGGAATTATAAAATATGCGGTACCAAGTTAATTAATTGGTTCCCACACGGAATGCCAAATTTTGACAAAATTTTCCGCTGTTGATTGACTTCTAAGAAATCATTGTCAGATTTAAATGATGACTACAACACATCAAAATTGTCCTTTTATTCATTGTTTTCTTCTACGACAATAACTTCATGACAGAAATAGATGTTGTGGTGAGAATATAGTCATTTAAAAAATGACGGTTGTCATTTACATCTCTCAGTGAACAGATGTTGAAGATATTATTTGTTACGTCCTCAACATAGAAGAGCTACATGTTAATTAAAACGTATTTTTAAATGACAACTGTCACCTGTTGTAATTTTTAAATTGCTTGTTTCATTCAGAATTTTCAGTTGGGATATTTTGGTCCCGAAAATGCCAGAATTGGAAATAGTGATGGTCAAATTTTGACAGATTTTGTCATTTTTGAATAACATTTGCCTAACAGATCGAAGTCATTTTTTTGTTGTTCGTTGCTTGACGGTCGTTAATGTTAAGAGGAATTATAAAATATGCGGTACCAAGTTAATTAATTGGTTCCCACACGGAGTGCCAAATTTTGACAAAATTTTCCACTGTTGATTGACTTTTAAGAAATCGATGATTTGAACACATCAAAATTGTCTTATTCATTGTTTTCTTATACGACAATAACTTCGTGACACGAATAGATTTTATGGTTAGAATATAGTAATTTAAAAAATGACAGTTGTCGTATCATTTACATATCTCAATGAACAGATGTAAGATATTAGTTTTTACGTCTTCAACAAGAAAAGCTACATTTTAACTAAAACGTATTTTTAAATGACAACTGTCACTTGCTGTCATTCTTTTAAATTGTTTGTTTCATTGCGAAGTTACGGATGAGTTTTCTCAAGAAATTTCGTGTAGTAATATTAAAGTAGAAACAGTTTACACCGGTTTGACATATCCAGTAATTGTCACTTGACAGCAAAAATTTTTAATAGCATTTGTCATTTATTGTTTGAAATCTGAGTTTAAAATGAGGTATAAAGTTGACACTCATTATTTCAAAACTGGAAATAATGAGTGTCAAATTTTTACAGGTTTTGTCATTTTTAAATGACATTTGCCCAACACGTAGAAGTCATTTTTTGTTATACGTTGTTTGACAGTCGTTAATTTGAAGTGGAATTATAAAATATGCACTCCCAAGCTAATTAATTGGTTACCATATTTGTTTTGTCAATTTTGACACACTTTTCCATTCTTGTAAGAAATTATTGTCAAATTTAAGTGATGATTTGCGCATATTAAAATCGTCGTTTTGTTCATTGTTTTCTTTTACGACAATAATTTCATAGCACCAATAGATTATGTGAGAATGTCAAATTTTTACAAAAGTTTAATTTGTGGTCTAGATTTAAGAAATAATTGGCACTTTAAATGACGGCATACATCGAAATTACCATTTTATTCATTTTTGTTTTTATACAATAACTTGATGGCACCAGTCGGAATGGTGTCATTTAAAAAATGACAGCTGTTAATTACATCTAGCAGTGAGTAGATGTTGAAGGTATTAATTTTTGTGCTCAACATATAAGCGTCACAGTTTAGTTAAAACTCATTTTTAAATGACAACTCACGTGGTGTCATTTGTTTTATTTATTCGGTTCGTTGCAGTTACACAGAAGTTTTTTAAAGAAATTTCGTGTTATAAGAAATTGTCATTTGATAACCAAAATTTTTAATGAAATAAATGTCATTTATTGATTGAAATTCGAGTTTAATATGACAAGTATAGATGTGAACTGGCAACATGTCTAGGTTTAATAATATAGTTTGTTTTTTAATACTGAAAAGTTTGAAAACTGGAGTAATGACTGTCAAATTTTGACTGATAGTTGTCATTTTTGAATGACATGTCGAACATCTAGAAGTCGTTATTTTATGTCATACGTTGTTTGACCATAGCTCATTTAAAGCGAACTTGTAATATAATCAGTGCCTAATCAGTTAATTGGTGGAATGTCAAATTTTTACAAAATTTTTCAACGTTGGTTGACTTTTAAGAAATCACTGTCAAATTTAAATGACGACTTGCGCTCATCGAAATTACCATTTTATTCATTGTTTTTTTGTACGACAATAACTTCATGGTACCAATAGATTATGTTGTTGGAATGTAGTCATTTAAAAAATGAAAAACTTCACGGCTGTACAAATGAATGTAAAATTTTGACTGACAATTGACCTTTTTAAATGACACTTGTCTAACATTCAGAGGTGATCACTATGTCATACGTCATTTGACAGTAGTTAATTTAAATTGAACTTAAAAATTTAAAATTACAATTTTATCCACTACTTTTTTTGTACAACATTTCCCATTTAAATCCCTAAAGATAAACCCCAAGAGATCGAGAACAGCAAAATCGAAGACCTCAAAAAGCAACTCGAAGAAGCGCTGGGAGCGAAAGCCGAAGCCGAAGCTAAACTCGAATTGATAATGCGCAACCCGGAGAAGGCCGGCGGAAAATTAGATCCATCGATGGTAAGCCACGTCGCGAACGCCCTCAACACGCCACCCCCGCCTCCGATGCCGGGAGCGGGAGGAGGACCGCCGCCTCCACCAATGCCCGGTTCCGGCGGACCGCCGCCTCCTCCAATGCCTGGAATGGGCGGACCACCACCGCCACCAATGCCTGGAATGGGCGGACCACCACCGCCACCAATGCCAGGAATGGGAGGCCCGCCACCGCCACCGATGCCAGGAATGGGAGGACCACCGCCTCCTCCGGGACCGCCTCCCCCGCCAGGCATGGGACCGCCGCCGCCACCGTTCGGCGCCCCCAGAGGAGGAGTGGCGCTGCCGGGAATGACAGACGTGTTGCCGCACGGCCTCAAACCCAAAAAGAAGTGGGACATAACCGGACCGTTGAAGAAGGCGAATTGGAAAACGGTACTTATGACGTCATTAGAGTGTCAAGTCAATTTTTTGTCAACGTATTGTTTTAGATTACGCCTCACAAGATGTCCGAAAAGGCCTTCTGGGTTCAAGTCCAAGAAGAGCAACTCGCCTCCGCCGAGATCCTAGACGGGCTTGCGAAAAAATTCTCTTCGAAACCGGCGAAAAAGCTCGAAGACTTGTCAGAGAACGGCACCGCGCACACCGGCACGTTGAAAAAGGTCAAAGAGTTGAAGGTTCTGGACGGAAAAGCGGCGCAAAACATCAGTATATTGTTAGGGGGTTCCCTCAAGCACATGTCTTACGATACCATCACCAAGTGTCTACTGCAATGCGATGATCAAGTCCTGACGGAAAACGTGACCGAGCAATTAATCCAGTACTTGCCGCCGGCCGACCAACTGTCAAAGTTGCAACAATTCAAGGACAAGTACAAGGAGCTGACCGAAGCCGAGCAGTTCTGCGTGAAGATCTCCGAAGTGAAGCGATTGTTGCCGAGGTTGAAATCGCTCAGCTTCAAACACCACTACACTGAGATGGTCAACGACACCAAACCGGTGAGTAAAAGGTCCTGGGTGGCGTTGCTCGTTGCTAAGCAAAATTGTTCAGGATATCGTGGCGGCGACGGCGGCGTGTGAGGAGGTCAAGAAGAGTAAGAAGTTCGCGCGCATGCTGGAACTCATACTCTTGTTGGGTAATTACATGAATTCGGGGAGTCGGAATGCGCAAGCGTACGGGTTTGAGATGAGTTTTCTAACGAAGGTGAGTTGGCGGGAGATTTGAACTAAAACTTTTTTATAACAGAGTGGTTTTGCAGTTGACTGGTACCAAGGACGTAAATAATAAACAAACGCTGCTTCACTACATCGTCGAAACTGCTGAAACTAAGTTCCCCGATTTGTTGAACTTTTTCGATGAGATGCCCCACATTGATAGAGCCAGTCGGGTTTCGCTAGACACCATACAGAAAACTCTAAAACAGATGGATAGTAACATTAGGAACTTACAAACGGATATTAATAACAACAGGGTGCCTCAGGGCGAAGATGATAAATTTTTGGAAGTTATGGAGGTAGATGCGGTCACGAGTTCAAACCCTGACGATGGTAATTTTTTTTTTTTTTTTTGTTGTAGAAATTCGCACAAGATGCTCGAGAGCAGTGTGATGTCTTACAGAACATGTTTAAGAAAATGGACAGTTTGTATACCGATCTTTCCGAGTACTACGTATTTGACAAACAAAAATATACTCTGGAGGAGTTCTTCAGCGACCTGAAGACTTTCAAGGACAGTTTTATTGTAAGTAGTGGTGACTGTGGGTCATTTTGTGTTACGGTACGGATTGTAGGAAGCTAAAAAAGACAACGATAAAGAGAGAGAGCTGGAGGAAAAGAAAGAGAAGGCGAAACTAGCGAAAGAACAGGCGGATCGAGAGAGGAAAGAGCGAGAAGCGAGAAAGAAAGCGCTGATCGATATGAATCCGTCGGAAACACAGGAAGGCGTCATGGATAGTTTGTTGGAGGCGTTATCTACAGGAAGTGCCTTCAGTAGGGAGCAAAAGCGGAAACGAGGTTGTCGGCCTGCAGGTGGTAAGTGCATTGTGTGAATCTAGTAGATGTAATGAAAGTAATTTATGAACAGACTGCTTTGAGGAAACTATTTTGGGTATGTTTAAGTGGATTAAAGGCGATTTATACACTTGTCGCTGACGTTGCGTCGTTTATATCCTCCGTTGACGTTGCCGTTGAAGGTTAGGTTTTCAACCAATCAAATCGCGGTAGTGTGCAGTGATATCAACTTGAAGGAAAATCCTTCACATTTTAAATAGTTGCCATCATTTTTTACACTGTAGCTACGTACACGTTTAAAATGGTCAATTTTTGTAAGGAAATACATATGGATTTTGCAATTAGACTCCGCCCCTAAGTCTGCCAACGAATGAAAACTTCATTACTATTTAGATCAGGGCAGGTAGGGGTGGGGCTTAAATTTTGGCTTGTTTTTTTCATAACATACATAGTATTCTTTGAACAACACGATACTCAATAACATGTTTTTTATTTTTTGTGGAAAAATAAAAATTTTGCAGTTAAGCTCCGCCCACTTGGCTCACGACGAATAAAAATATCCTTGGTGTCTTCTTTTTGAAGATTTTTAAATAATTTTGAAATTTTGATTTTTTTTTAATACATATATGAAATGGTCTTAAGGACTCCTGGTGTTCTGTTTTTTGAAGAATTTAAACGAATCTTGTGGATGACTGATTTTTTGTTTTTGAAAGGAATTGAAAGGATCTTGGGAACTTTGCGGTCTTTTTTTAAAGATTTTAAAATAATCTTACTTGTGTTGATTTTTGTCTTGGAGACCCTAGTGTCTTTGTTTTTAAGATGTGTTTTGTTTTAGAACTATTATTGAAAAAAGAATTGAAACGACCTTACAGTCCTTAATACCTTCTATTTGAAGATTTTAAATGAAAATTTGGGGCTTGGTGTTTCATCTTTGAAATAATTTGGAAAAATCTTGGGGAGCTTCGGTGTTTAAAAAAAATTGAAAGATCTTTGGGAGCCTTTTTGTTTTGTTTTGAAACAATTTGGAAAAATCTTGGGATCCTTGGTCTCTTCTTTTTGAAGATTTTCAAAAAATTTTGAAATTTTGATTTTTTTTTTGAATACATGTATGGAATGGTCTTAGGGACTCCTGGTGTTGTTTTTGGAAGAATTTGGAAAAATCTTGAGGTCCTTGGTGTCTTCTTTTTGAAGATTTTCAAATAATTTTGAAATTTTGATTTTTTTTTAATACATACATGAAATGGTCTTGGGACTCCTGGTGTTCTGTTTTTGGAAGAATTTGGAAAAATCTTGAGATCCTTGGTGTCTTCTTTTTGAAGATTTTCACATAATCTTGAAATTTTGATTTTTTTTTATCACATATATGAAATGGTCTTAGGGATTCCTGGTGTTCTGATTTTGGAAGAATTTAAACGAATCTTGTGGATCTTTGATTTTTTGTTTTTGAGAGGAATTGAAAGGATCTTGGGAACTTTGCGGTCTTTTTTTAAAGATTTTAAAAGAATCTTACTGGTGTTGTTTTTTGTCTTGTAGACACTAGTGTCTTTGTTTTTAAGGTGTATTTTGTTTTAGAACTATGATTGAAAAAAGGATTGAAACGACCTTACAGTCATTAATACCTTCTATTTGAAAATTTTAAATGAAAATTTGGGGCTTGGTGTTTCATCTTTGCAATAATTTGGAAAAATCTTGCGGAGCTTCGGTGTTTAAAAAAAAATTGAGAGAACTTTGGGGGCCTTTTTGTTTTGTTTTGAAATAATTTGGAAAAATCTTGCGGAGCTTCGGTGTTTAAAAAAAAAATTTAAAGAACTTTGGGGGCCTTTTTATTTTGTTTTGAAACAATTTGGAAAAATATTGAGATCCTTGGTGTCTTCTTTTTGAAAATTTTCAAAGATTTTGAGTAGCTTAGCTGTCTCATTTTTGAAAAAAAATGGAAGGATTTTGGTTGTTTCGGGATTAATCTGAAAGAATCTTGAGGACTCTTTGAAAAAAAAAGGATTGAAACTCTTGGGGACTCCTGGTGTTGTGGTTTTAAAAGAATTTGGAAGAATCTTGAGGACTCTAATGTCTTTGTTTTTTAGCAATGTTTTGTAGAACTACTCTGAAAAAAATTGAAAGGAACTTGGTGACCTTAGTATTAATTTTTTTTTTTTGAGATTTTAAAAGAATATTGGGGTTCCTGTTATATTTTTGAAACAATTTGAAAAAATCTTGAGGAGCGTCGGTGTTTTTGAAAAAAAGTGGAACAACTTTAGAGGCCGTTTTGAAAGATTTGGAAAAATCTTGAGATCCTTGGTAATTAATTTCTCGTAGAAAAATAAGGATTTTACAATTAAGCTTCGCCTTTCGACTTACGACAAATAAAAAAAAAATCATCAGAATTGAAATAGGGTGGGTGGGCGGGGCTTATATTTTGCCTTTTTTCTTAATATACACAGCCATCTTTTCACAATAAGAAACTTAAAACATGGTTAGAATGGTACATTTTTGCAAGGAAATATGGATTTTGCAATTATGGGGCGGAGCCTAATTGCAAAATCGGGATTTCCTTATAAAAATTTTCCATTTTAAACATGTTTTAAGTTTAATGTTGTGAAAAGAAGCTTACATGTATTAAAACAAAAAGGCAAAATATAAGCCCCCCTCCCCCTATCTTTATTGTGATGATTTTTTTTATTCGCCGTGAACCAAGTTTTACTAGTGCTTTTCAAAAATAAAAAAAGACTGGGTCTTCACAGTCTTATGGACTCTTAAACGTCTTCGTCTTTTTGAAAAAAAGATTGAAGAATCTTTGGAGGCCTGCGTTCTGTTTTGAAACAATTTGGAAAAATCTTGAGATCCTTGATGTCTTCGTTTTGAAGATTTTCAAATCATTTTGGGTAGCTCTGGTATTTAGTTTTTGAAAAAAAAAAGAGAAGAATTTTCAGGGGGTATATGCGTTTTTTTTTCTTCTTTTTTTTTGAATATATGAAATGGTCTTAGGGACTCCTGGTGTTGCTTTTGGAAAAATTTAAACGAATCTTGTGGATCTCTGATCTTTTGTTTTTGAAAGGAGTTGAAAAGATCTTGGAACCTTTGCGGTCTTCTTTTTCAAGATTTTAAAAGAATCCTATTTGTTTGATTTTTGACTTGAAGTCCCTAGTGTATTTGTTTTTAAGATGTGTTTTGTTTTAGAACTATTATTTAAAAAAAATTGAAAGAACCCTACAGTCCTTAGTACCTTCTATTTGAAGATTTTAAATGAAAATTTGGGACCTTGGTGTTTTGTCTTTGAAATAATTTGGAAAAATCTTGAATCCTTGGTGTCTTCTTTTTGAAGTTTTTCAAAGAATTTTGGGTAGCTTTGTTGTCTCATTTTTTAAACAAACGGAGGGATTTTGGTTATGTTTCGGGATTAATCTGGAAGAATCTTGAGGAATTTTTGTCTTTTTGAAAAAAAGATTGAAAATCCTTGGTGTTGTGTTTTTAAAAGAATTTGGAAGAATCCTCATGCCCCTTGCTGTTTTCATTTGAAAAAAAAAGAATCGTGGGGGCTTTAATGTCTAATGTGTTTTGTTGTAGAACTATTCTGAAAAAAATTAAAAGAACCTGGGTGCCCTTCGTATCTTTTTTTTTTGAAAATTTTAAAAGCATATTTGGAGACTCTTATTATATTTTTTAAACAATTTGAAAAAATCTTGAGGAGCTTCGGTGTTTTTGAAAAAAATTGGAACAACTTTGGAGGATTTGGAAAAATCTTGAGATCCTTGATGTTTTTTTCTTTTGAAGATTTTCAAATTTTCTGTAGCTCTGATGTATAGTTTTTGAAAAAAAAGGAAGACTTTTGGGTCTATGCGTTTCTCTTCTCATTCTGTTTTTGGAAGAATTTAAACAAATCTTGTGGACCTCTTCTCTTTTGTTTTTTGTTTTATTGTTATTGTTAAGGCTTACAATATATATGTATGGTTTTCATTATCGTAATTGTAGAGAATCTGTGAATCAGCGAACTCTTATACTATTTTTTTCTTTGGTGAGATCAAGGCTGGAGTACGAGGCAGTTATTTGGTACCCCATCGAAGTACGTAATCCATCGCAAGGAGATAGAGGCTTTACGAAGAAAATTTTGCCAAAATAAGTCTTATCTTAGCAAGTACTAGCCCCGCCCACCCGCTCCCTATTTTCTCAGAATATATGTCATTTGCCTAAATAAGTCTTACCTTACCAAGTAGTAGCCCCGCCCATCCGCCCCCTATTTCTCAGAGGATGTCATTTGCCAAATTTCTTTACAAGAAGTTAAAAACCTGTTTTTGAGCATCGTGTCGTTAAAGAATACTATGTATATTAATTTTGAAATAAAATATTAACAAAAAAGGCAAAACATAAACTCCGCCCACTTGGCTTACGATGAATAAATAAATCATCAGAATTGAGATAGGGTGGGTGGGCGGGGCTTATATTTTGTGTTTTTTTTTTCTTAATATACATAGCCATCTTTCCACAATAAGAAACTTAAAACATGGTTAAAATGGTACATTTTTGCAAGGAAACGCGGATTTTGCAATTATAGGGCGAAGCTTAATTGCAAATCGATGTTTCCCTATATAAATTTTTCATTTTAAACATGTTTTAAGTTTCATGTTGTTAAAAAAAGCCTACACATATTAAAACAAAAAGGCAAAATGTCAGCCCGCCCACCCGCCCCATCTCAATTGTGATGATTTTTTTTATTAACGTGAACCAATAGGGCGGAGCTTAACTGCAAAATACTCATTTCTTTACAGGAAATTAAAAACATGTTTCTGCGTATCGTGTTGTTCAAAGAATATTTTGTATATTAAGAAACAAATGGAAAATATTAACCCCGCCCACCCACCTCATCTCAATTGTGATGATTTTTTTTTTTATTCTTAGAAACTTAAAACTCGTTTAAGATGGTAAATTTTTGTAAGAAAATATGGATTTTGCAATTAGGCTGCGCCCCTATATCTGCCAACGGATGAAAACTTCATTACTATTTAGATCAGGACAGGTAGGGGTGGGCTTTAATTTTTTTCTTAATATGCATAGTATTCTTTGAATAACATGATACTCAAAAACATGTGGTACATGGTAATTTTTTTGTAGAGAAATACTAAGAATTTTGCAATTAAATTCCGCTCCTTTGGCTCTCGACGATTAAAAAAAAATCATCATAATTGAGATAGGGCGGGTGGGCGGGGCTTATATTTTGCCTAGTCTTTGGCGTTATTTTTTTCTTAATATACAATGTATTCTTTGAAGAACACGATACTCGAAATAAGGATTTTGTAGTTAAGCTCCGCCTCCTTGGTTCACGACGAATAAAAAAAAATCATCACATTGCATACATTTTGCCTGTTTTTCTTAATATGTATAGACTTATTTCGACAACAAGACACTTAAAACATGTGTAAAACGGTAAATTTTTGTAGTAATCAACTTCAATCCTACCCTTTTCTTTTACAACCCCTTTAAATGCGGCAAAAGTTGAACATTGAAGTTCAGCGGGAACAGCAACTGCAACGTCAACAGCAAGTTTATAAATCCTACTTTATTTTTTTGGTGGTTAACGTCAGAAGTGGGATAAGTGGGATAGGTGTATATAGATAGATATACTTATGATTTTTCTTATTTTAGCGGAGCGACGAGCGCAGTTGGTTAGGTCTCGGTCAAGGTCAGGGCTAATAACGGGGAGAGAGCTAATGAGGTACGAGTGATAGTTTTGTTGTTGGTGAACACCCCTAACAAATTAACTTTGTTTTAGTGAAATTGCAGCGTGAACAGGACGCTCTGCAAGGAATAACAACGAACTTGGTTATTTTAAGCTCAATTAACGTTAATTTTATTGTGTTATTTATTAATCAGTTTATCAAACGTCTTCCTTTGTACATACATGTTTGTATATTTGAATCTCTTTCTTATTTCCTTTTTTTGATGCAGAGTATGAGGCGTGGAATTTTCCGTGGAGAAAGTATAGATAGCTTGATGTATCATAAGATTTTTTATAAAAAGAGTGTGAATAAGTAAAAAATTATATTTTAATACTTTAATAAATTATTTTCAACGATTGTTAAAATCCGTGGTTGACTTACCCTGTAAATAATCTCACAAAGTGCACAAAAAAATATATTGTTTCCAAAACCTACGTCAACGTAATGAAAATAAAAAAATATTACAAAAAGGAATGGCGAATTTCATCTACAGTTGGCACTTGGCACTCCTGCACTTAAGTACCATCAACACAACTCTTTACACTTGAAACTTGTAATACTCGAACAACTACATTAAGTATATAGATATCATTTTCTTAATATCGTGGTAGTACACGCTTATGTAGTAATGAGTTAAATGCATGGATATTGAGACAACGAACACTACACTACCACAAAAGACTGTATACCATATATAGGACGAACAAAATTGGTCATAAAATATCTCACTATCAACACTTATCGAAAATTGGTCTTAGTCTAAATGTGCAACAGTAGTCGACATTAATGCCCGGCTGCAGCAGAAATGCCCACCGTTTAAAAAAATAGAGAATATGAAATACTGTCAATATACTATTGTCATCAGAGCACCCCCACCAATCGAGAGAGCCACGCCCGCGCAGGCCACGCCTTTTTGATTGTCGTAATGGTGGGGGCAACTGCCAACAATCCTACTCACTAACCTAAAGGCCCTGACTCTAAACTTATCACAATATCAATGAGGAAATTGGAGATGAACAGACTCCTAAGTTAGTTGTGCCGTGTGCAGTAAGGGGACTACGCTACAGTGTCGTCGCTCTTGCCGTTGGCAACCACCACGTCGGGCTTCTCCGTCATCAGCTCCTCCCGCTCTAGCTTGTCTTCCTTGTCGTTGGAGACGCCGTCGGTGTAGTTCCACGGCTGGATCTGCGAACACGCGCGTTACGATTTGTTGATTTTTTTTATGCGACGACCCACCTCTGACGTGCCCCAGATCTGGAACGTGACGTACGTGGAGACCGAGACGAAAGCCGTGACGTAGAACACCATGCGCCAGGCCGACATGAGGTGTTCCTGTTCGTTGAGCATCTGGAATGCGGCGAGCGGGCTGAGGAAACTTGCGGACATGTGGATGGTCTGGGCGAAGGCCAAGACCGGCCCTGCGAAATTGGGAGCGATGTCAACGACGTTGGCCATGGCGCCGGCGTAGGAGGCTGTGATTAAGGTGACGGCCAGGAACCAGACGACGAGGACGAGGTCGATGTCGCAGCCGAGGTAACTGATGAGTAGGACGAGCAGGCCCGGCACGACTTGCGCTGCGGGAGAGGTGAATGAGTTATTATTCAGTAGAAGAGTTTATCTTAGTATCTATATACACATACAGGGTCGCTAAAAAGTATGGAAGCAGTTGAATATCGCGAGGACAGTTTGGACAGATGCATTGTAATACTAATAATAAAAGTATTGACGGTCCAGACTTTTTTATTGCTCTATTTCCGCTTATTAAATACTTAAAATAGTACATTTTATTTTGATTTTAGATGTCGTAATTCACATTATAACTTGTCTAGATCTGGGGGAGGCTCAGCATCCTTTAGCCTCCCCCTAACTATGGCCTTGTTATGAAATATCGAAAAAATATGCAAGTACCAAATTACCCCATTTCTGTACGTCCTTAGGTTATCCTCGATACGAAAAAAACTTGAAAGTGTTTACGTTTATACATCGGAAGAATGTCACGTAGAGATTAGTTTGATTTGAATGAGTTCGTCCCCTCAAAATCAAGGATCAAAACTTCTAAGTAGTAAGCTACAATCGACAAAATGTTCTTCATTATTAAAATTTTTTATTAAATAAAGACGTTTGTATTTTCACATTTTCGGGAAAATGGGGTGACTCGTTCTTAATTTGATCAATAAAAAACATGAATGAAATGATGAATCACAAGTAAAAACTCAGCATATTTTACACATTTTGGGTAGAAGTTATTCGGCAAAATTTTGAGATGTCATACATTTTTTGGGGTGAATAAACAGATTTATTTTGGTTAACCATGCTTAGAATGACTTTAAAACGTCTCCAAGATTTCAAAGCATTCAGTTTTGCAATTCTTGATTTATTCAATAAAATAAATTGACTGATTCACTAATTTTTTTGAGTCACCCTGTAAAAGCAAATTGCAATTGCACATTTTAGACAGGATTTATTCGACAAAATTTTGAGTTGACGTCATCAATTTTTTGGAGGGGATAAGCAAATATATGTTTATTAAAAATTTATTATGCTCATCATAACTTTAAAACATCTGCAAGATTTCAAAGCGTCCGGTTTTACAGATTCAAAATTAAATTGGAAAATGTTGTTTTATAGTTGTCTTTTTTTTTTTTTTTAAATCTGGTTTATCCAAGCCCAAACACAAAATACTCGTTTTCAGAACCCCTGGTGTGTGCGTAAGATTTTTATTTTTGTGCTAGGAAGCGAAGACCGTGAAAAGGGTTTATTCTGTTGAACAAGACACTTGAATATCTGGCCAAATACCGTTATTTGATAATTCAAGAAACATCGTTAGAGGCTCACATTAGTGATGTAATCAACAGATTTTTCGAACTGGCGGTGTCGCCAAAGAGAAATCCCCTGAAAGACTTTCACTATCTGAGCAAATTGTTGATGATTTGAGACGACTTGTGCAGAATCCGCAAAGATCTTTGACAAGATTTCCTCAACAGTCAAGAGTTCCTGTTGCAACATGAAATTGAACAATGGGTCCAAAGTATTGACGAAAGGATGTTACAGAACATTTTCAATATTTACTGTGATGTTTAACCGCAATAAATTTGTTTAATGAAATAGTTTTATTTTTTTTAAATAAGATATGATGCATTTAGGCAACCAGTTATACAGTGAAGGCATTTAGTAAAGTCTGAAATTGAGAGGCGGCACGTTTCCATGACCTACTTCGACCGTATAATTATTTATAGAAATCCTGTATAATATTAATAATATTTAAGTACGTATTTAATAATTATTATTAAGTCGTACAATAAAAAGTCAAAGACCAAATTTGTACGGTTCTTTAAAGACTAAACTTATTTACAGTTATTTTTAACTATATACGAAGTGTCCCGTTTTAAACACTTTTTTTTAATGAAACACACCTCATTAGCTTCTTTCTAGGATTCATAATTAGTTTATTTCTAAAATTTCAATGCCACGTTATTGCATCTTTTTTTTGGCAATGAAAGGGTTCACAAAAAATCGCAGTAGAGTTATTTTTAAAGTATGTCTTATACAATATTTTGTGGAAGCTTAACTTACGCTTGGGAATTAAAAAACACTCTGTATTATATTAAAGATAATTTTAGACTACAGTCCCCAAAGAACCGTACAATTTTGACCTTTACTTTTTATTTCTAATAATTCTATAAATCAATGTATAGTCTTGCCAATTCTCTGAAAGCGCACTGGTAAATATACGTTGGTTCAATGATGAGCTGAAGTATAAAAGACTCAATTTTAATTTTCTTCATAATCAATTTAAAATAAGTAGAAATGTATGTATCTGATTGGCAACTTAAATAAACAGTTCTAAAGTTATTTTAGACTTCCCTCGTACCCAAAGTAAACATTCAAACAAATTAAATGTCGTGTGTTGCGCTCGTTATGCGCGTAACTCAAGTATCGGGTAAATCACACAAAAATTTTTGTAAAGTAATCATGATAAAAATCGAGGCGCATTCATAAACCACAGGGACAGGAGTATGTTATTTTATAACTTTTAGCGTCTTACCATCTGCACAATATTCGTAACATATTTGACGCTTCGGTAGTTTCGGAGATTATCTGTCTAATAAAAATCAACACAGACGGCAGACACAGACAGACAGGCGGAAACGTCGTCTAGGGGTCATGAAACGTCAAGAAAACATAAATGTAGGTATTCGCCCGTTAGACTCTATTACAATACTTTAGCTTACGCTCGGTAAGTAAAAACACTACTTAGTTTTAATACATTTATACATATATATTTATATATAAATGTCTAGTAAATTTAATTGTTTATCTATTAACTAATTTTTTAACCAGTGTATCAAAGAAGGATTTGATCCAAATATTTAAAAAAAGGAGAAATGACACCACATTAAAAAAAATGATCGAAATTTAAAAAGAATGAATTTTTGATGGGATTTATCGGAGAAAATTTAAATCAAGTTTTTCGCTTCCAAAGTTAATCGTGAAATGTTGTTATAAAATTTATATTTTTTAGATGTCAAGGGTAAAAACTCACATAAATCACAAGTGCAGCAATAAGTTATTTTATAAAATTTAAAGTTATTGGCGTCATCAAATGGGGGGGGGGGGGACAACGGAATGGATTAATAAAGCACAAGTGCAGGAGAATGTTATTTTATAAAAATTTAAAAAGTATTGTGTTGATGTATTCAATATTTTGGACTAAGATTAACGATTTATCATGCTTACGATAACTTTAAAACGTTTGCAAAATGTTATTTACACAATTTTGATTCTTTTTTATAAAATATATGATCCGGGGAACAGTTTTAGAAATATTCGGTTTGAAGATGATTTTTTCAAAATCCAAAAAATTGCAATATTTCAATGGGCGATTCTGTAAATATGGTAGTACTTATGGAAGAAATGAGGCCGAAACTACAATAACTGGGTGTCGAAATCTACAAAATAATGTCTTTGGTTAAGTTTCGAAATTTGGAGTTTTTTTAGCGTTGATTCGACCACTTGATAAAACAAAATTCAATCTTGATCTCACAGTGCATAAAATAAGCCAATGAAATTAAAAAGTGGAGGTGGATGGGGGGTTAGTTTTACATTTTTTGTCAGCATTCCACTAATCATCTAATCTAATAAAATGAGCCACCAAGAAGAAAACGGGGTGGGTGGGCGGGGACACTTTGATTTTTTTAAGCCTTGATTCGACCACTTGACAAAATAAAATTCAATTTTCATTCCATAGTAAATAAAACAATCCAACGAAATTCAAAAAATTCAAATATGAAGGTGGGCGAGGTTATTTTTACATTTTTTATTAAGATTCCACTAATTATCAATGTAAAATCCACTTCTCGTCCAATAAAATGTAAAAAATCTGGATGTTTAGGGTAAAAACTCATTTATAATGGATTGATTTAGTTCGGGTGAGGGGTTTCTTTAAAACCACTTAAGGGTGAGTGAGTGTGTGCGTGTGTGGAATGCCTGAGGGAAATTAGGAGACAAATACAGGACTTTTTGTTTTTAAATCCCAAAGAAAATAATGAGTTGGTAACGATTATTTTGAAGTTCGCGGGATTTCGTTGTACATCAGAATTGATTTCCATAATAATTCGACTATTATATTAATGGTTGAAGCAAATTTTTGTGTTGGCAATTCTGAATTACTAGAGGCAATGTTGTCAATTTTGGAATAAACGTGATGGCATCTACTGACTGGACACCGTAAATTTCAATTTGACTCTCATGTATACCACCATAAAAAAAGGGAGGGTGGGCGGGGCTTCATATTTACTTATAAAAATAGCACCGTACCAACTTAAAATAAAAATAGGGAAGACTGCTATTTTAGGGTGAAAATTCACATTAATTATGGAATATACGTGATTAGAAGACGGCAGATAGATTAAGACTTGGCACCACTAAATTTCAATTTGACAATCATGCCACCATAAAAAAACAGGGTGGGTGGGCGAGACACCATATTTTTTACAAAAGCAGCATAGTACCAACTTACAAAAAAAAAGAATAGAGACGACTGCCATTTTAGGGTGAAAATTCACCTCAGTTACGAAATAAAAGTGATTAGAAGATGGCAGATAGACTTGGATTTGACACCACTATTTTTCAATTTGGCAGTCATGTGTGCCACCATATAAAACCGGGTGCTGCCATTTAGGGTGAAAATTGGCCACTGCTTTTAATTCACATATCCTAGTTGTCAATCATGGAATAACTGTGATTAGAAGATGGTATCTACTAACTCGACACAATAAATTTCAATTTGACAATTATTTATGTCACCATAAAAAAGGGTGGGTGGGCGGGCCATTATATTTTGACTTCTAAGTAAGCTAAGGAAGGATAGTAATCGAGTCCATCGGTTGAATTGACACTTTTATGTTTTCTCGACATTTCATAACCCCTACAGTACGAAAAAAGTAGTCCCCCGTTTCCGTCTGTCTGTCTTTCTGTCTGTATCTATTTTTATTAGACAGTTGTTTCGCTTAACGTTCAAATTTTCGCAAAAACAATTGCACGGTATAATAACGTTATCTTTGTTTTTTTTAAC